CCTTCGTCTTATCCCTCCCCCTGCCATGAAATGCCCATATTTAAACGGCTTGCTAAATCCCAAGAACTTTGTAGTGCAGGGTTAACTGCTTCTGTTTGTTAAAATAGAGTGTTTTCCTAGTACTTGATTCTTGCCTCCCCTTCCTTTTTTTAATTATTAAGTATTGCCTGTTGCAGGCCTGTCAGAAATACTTGGGGGGGGGGAGGGGAGGAAGGGTCAAACCAACTAGCTTCTTCTCAGGGTTTTTTATTTTAATCTTTACTAAAGCTTTCTTATGGGCTAAGATTTAAGCCTTTAACTGGTCTTATTTTGTGTATGACTTATGTAACGTTAAGTTTATTGCTCTCATGATGATGTTAATAATTAAAATGATGCTATGTATTCTATTATGTACTTTGCTTACTTTTTTTAGTGTTTGTGTGAGTATATAGGCTGGGCTCTTTGATGAGTCAAGTTGCTATATTTGATTTGCTGGGTTTTTTTAACCTATAGGAACCTTTGTGTGCTTTAAAAAAAGTTTTTGCATATTTTTGTTGTTTTAACTGGATTGTAATGTCTGAAAACTGCTTTTAGCTGAATCAAAATGTAGCCAAGACAAACTCATTCTGACCAAGTTGCATCTGTTTGTCTAGACACTGAGACTGAGGTGTTGAAGTCTCTCTGCCCTGCATACGCTGTGCAGCCAAACTCTAAGAGATGGCAGAGGACAGTAAAAGCAAAGGTGGCACAACTCCACTAAACTCTGCTAAATCTGATACTATTCGCTGTTGATGTTCTCGCGTTCTGAGCCAGCGCGCAAGCCCAGGTTTCTGTGGTTGTTTGAGCACGCCAGTGGGTTTTGCTGTTTTCCTGGCTGAGGCTGTCTTTTGCCCAGACTGTAGCGTGTTTCTTTGGCCAAGAACAACTTTTCCATTTTTATTTGGGAGGTATAGTGGGTAAAAAGATAGCATTGTTTATCTGCTAGACTTCCCTCGTTTGTGTTGCCAAAATGAAGTGTCACTCAAAGTAGGCTGTGCACAACTGATTCCTGGCTTGTACGTTGCTCAGTAAAGCATATAATTAATCACGGTAACATCTGACATCTCCCAAATGTATTTGGGTAAGCTCATACCTCTTAGACTATGAGAGGTACGTTTTTGGCTTGTGCAATTTTGCTGCGTTATTTGTATTTTTTTTTTTTCACATGCACTTCTTGTGGCCACCTTCTTCCTTAGGAACTTGTTTTTGTTTGTTTATTTTTTAGCACCAGAGTTCATGTTCTGAAGCACAAGATGAAAGCTGTAGTTAATTATGGTTATCTCATCCTGCCACGTGTCATATGAAAAGGCTTTTGGACTGCGAGCTTGCATTATTAAGCTCTCTTTGAGTGCTTACCACAGTTATGTTTTCATTTTAGCAGAAATAGCAACAGTAGCAAGGATGATGCATTAAAGCACAATATTTTGCGTTGGAACAGTCAGCTGTAAGCCCTGGCCTTTGAAGCGTGTTGTGGATACCAGCTTGAGGTTCCTGGCATCTGTGCGATGTACTGATTCTTCTCTGGGTCTGTTTTAGGAAAATGTGTTTATCGGTCAATCCAAAATCTACAGCTACCTGAATCCTAACAAATCTCCTGGTGCTCGCCCCCCACTTCAAGAGGAGAACTCTGTCATGTATCACGAGGTGAAATGTCAGGGCAAAACACTAAATGAAACCTACAGAAAAGGAGATGGTAAGACTGATTTTTGAACTACTCGCTTGCCTCATGTGATGTGCTTTGTTCCCCCAGTCTGAAAACTTGAGAAGGCAGCCAAAGAAGCCAGAGAGCTCCCTTCGTCCACTCGCTTTCCCAGTCCCGCAACTCTGTTGGCAGATTGGGACTCCACAAACATGAGGGTGTCTTCATCCTCTTCAAACTCATCTCGCAGGTTTACCAGGCAATTTTGCCTGTTTTTTGTCTAGCTATGCTTGTCCTGTGTCTCTGGATATAAACTGCTAACAGTTACATACTCAATATGCTCTAATCTACCTGGAATTCCATTACTATTCCACTTCTTCAGGTCAGTATTTGGCAGTTTAGCTAGTCTTTTTTGCCTGCTCTGTTAGTTGAAGCTGGTTTATTCTATAATTTGGCTACTTCATACTAATTTATATTAAAGAAATGCCAAATCAAAAAAGGTATGAAGCAGAGCTAGAGGTGGAAGGAGAACCGATTCTTAGATTTTTCAGGATGAAATAAAGAAAGAGAGGAAAAAGAGCTCAAACTGGGTGCTGACTGCCAGGCTTCACCGCTGCTTTGTTGTAGTGACTAGAAATGGGAACGTTCCATAAACTGATGGAAGAATTGCTGTTTTGTGTTTATAGGTGCAGCTGTTAATACCCTCGGTAATTCTGTCATTTTGATGCCAACGCTTTTAGTAGGCAGGTATTTTAATTCCTGCTCAGCATTGGGAGTGCCAGATTTTCTGGGAGTTTAGCAGCTGTAGCTCCCCCGTTTTGACAAGAAAGTGAGGATGATTTTAGTCAATTGCACAGTGTAGCTGTGGCCTTGCAGCTGTGCTTCATTCCCCCAGTGAAACTGAAGCATCTGTCTCAGGACGTGGAACTGTTAAACCTGGTAACTTGCTTTAAATAGAAATTTTGTTTAGCTTTAAGCCATGCTCATCTGCCTCTCAGTCTGTCAGCTGAGAAGGAGGATGTGGTCAGGTCAAGGTAGGACGCACCCAAACAAGAAAATGTGATATGCGTGGGGTAGATTTTCTGTTTTTTGTTAGTGCCTGCCCCTTGGGTCCTGTGGATTCTTCTGTGTGATACTGGCCACTTGCAAGAGCATCTGCAACCATAACAATGCAGGAACCAAACAGACTTGCAATCTCCTTCAGTGCAGAATGTTGATTCATTTATGGCAGCTTTATAATTTAACGTGCCCAGGGCACTGAGCGGCAGACTGCTGTTATCTCAAACACTGTACTGAAAGTGGTCCGTGTTCAGATTTGGAAAATTTTAGTAGCAAACCTAATGCGACAGAATACTTGCGGTCTGTTGTACTCTCTTCATACTCCCTTCATACGCGCTGTACTGTAGAAATAGCTAGTCAAAAGTTCAATAACAGCCTATTTGGGTTCTCACAGAAAGAAATTGCATCATTCCCTTCCTCTTTCTCCTGTTTGACAGAACTAGAAACTTGGACTAGAAACCACTGGAATTCATTTAAAGCACTCTGATATAGATGATCGTAAGTTCAGAGCCTTACTTTATTTTCCTGTCACCAGAAAAAAAGAATGGTGGCAATATAATTGAAGGTGCTATGAAACCAGAAGACGAGAAAGATAAAGAAAGTGGGTGCAATTCTTCAGTGCCCTCGTCTGATCAAAGACAAGAAACTGCAGAAACTCAGAATACACCTCTGCCTTCAGAATGTGCTGATGAGGCCAATGCAAAGCCAGCTCAGAAAAAGATGGTTAAAGCAAAACGTGGACCAAGGAGAAAGTAAGTGAATTCTGGAACCATGAAAGTTTCTGCTTTGTGCCCTCTTGTATCAGGAGGCCTTGATCTGCAATTTGCCCTCAGGGGTTACAGTCAGACTTGTAATTAATGTTAACCTTGTTTTGTTACCCTTTTTTTTAAACAAAGGGTGATGATGGGGGAAACAGATTTTAAAGACTTTTCTGTTTTCTCAAGAATAGTATGTATGAAAATACAAAATATCACCCAAAATATCTGTATCTGTCTTGCAGAGGACTCTGTTTTCCTTGTAAGCAAGGTTAGTGTGTTTTATCTCAAATGAAATACTTGATGATTGCCTACGGAAACGGAAATTAATGAGGCATCGAGGCCTATTTTTCTGTGGACAAATTGGAATGTGTCTTGTCAGAAACAGGATATTGGATTAATTACAGTTGGTGGCTTCCTAGCTCATACCTTTTCTTATGTGATTAGAGTAAAGTAACCTAACATTAATGAATTCCTTGTCAAGCAGCTTTCATGATCTAACTTTCAGAGGGCCTTCTGGCAGGAATCGGACTCGAAATGTAACCTTCAGTGGGTTTCCAATGGCATCTTTTTCTTGTGGTTAAAGGAGTAGTGCTGGAATAATGGAAATAGCATAGAGGAAAAGGGGGATGCAGTTTTTGGCTTAGAATGAAAAATTATGATAATAAACATTGATTCATCCTGGTCAACTTTCAACATACTAAGTTGCAAGTTTCTTGCAAACCCCTCAAGGATAGAGGGGTAACTTCAGAAATAGCCTGAAATGTGCATATTCCCTATTTTTCTTATCCCTTAGAACACAAGGAAGAACACAAAATCGAAAAGTGACAGATTATTACCCAGTTAGAAGAAGCTCCAGGAAGAGCAAATCTGAATTGCAGGTAGTGCTTCTTGTTACAATTGCATAATGTACAATGTGGCCGGTCAGTTGAGCGCTTGAGAAAGTGTATTACTATCTGTGAATGGTTTCCACCGGCAAAAAGCAAATAACAAATGTGCACTAGAAGTATTGTTAAAATAAGAGCATTCTTAAAATGTTGAAATTAACATCCAGATTTTTTAGGATGTAATCCAGCTACTTATACATCTCTAGGAAGAAATCTGTCTCTTTACCGTTTAGTCCTGCTAGAAGGATGGGATGGTTTGGAAAAATAAGTGTCAACAGATAATCATTCCCCCTTAGCTATGAAATAAACCCACAATACTGTGGTTTTACTTTTGTCTTGTTTCTTCTGCAGACTGAGGAGAGGAAGAAAATAGATGAACTAATTACAAGTGGGAAAGAAGAAGGAATGAAGGTAACTGCAATACTGACCTAAGCAGCGTTATAGTGTTTAAGTCTCTTGCTGTTAATCTGTTTAAACAGAAAGTAGAAGCGCTCTGTCTTGCAGCTGCTGTAGTTCCTTGGTACTAAGATGAAAGTGCAGCAAAATGGAGCACGTTTTCTCTTTCCCTTTTGGATGGGCAACGTTTAGTGCTGACGAACTTGTGTGCTCTAATAAACATCGAGGGGCACTTTATAGTCTTTACACTACAGAAGATGCACTTGCTCCCTTTGGAAGCTAATCCAAGACATTAGATACTAAAAGTGTGGTTAGATATGGGAGCTGTTTGGTGTGTTCATATATGGCAACACCCATAGGTGTGTGTGTATGTGTGCATATATATATATTTCACACACATACACGCCCCTCTCCCTCTCCCTCTCCCTCTCCCTCTCCCTCTCCCTCTCCCTCTCCCTCAAATTCTATTAGCATGTTTACAGCCAGTCACTGTTGGTTCTGTGTTATGGTACTGCATGAATGGGGTGTACTGATTCTTCTCCTACTGTTAGTAAATACTAGTTATTGGGACCAACTACTTACTCTTTGGGGTACTCTGACCACCCCTTTTAGAATTTAAAGCAGAAATGGCTCCTGAAAGAGCAAAAGGCTGTGATTCTTAAAAAAGCAGTGGCCTGTAGTTATAAAGTTGCTCCTAGGACAATGACAGGAGAACTTTCTCAGAGTGGAGGAGTGGCCCACTTTACTGGGATAGGCAGGAATATAAGAGCATGCTGGTGGGTGAAAAGCATTATTTCTGTAATCAATCCTTCTGTTCCTCTCACTTTTTATCCTGCCATACTAATGGTGACGGTGCTTCTGAAATGGAAAAACTGACTTCCTCAGCTAATAGGTGGCTGCTGGTTAAAAATATTGAATAACTTCGCTGTGTGTATTTTTTGATGCAATTCTGTATTCTTTGATTACAGAGCTTTGTATCAGGAAAACTTTGTATCAAAATACCTGATAAGTTGTAGATTTGCATCCCAAACTCATCCTATATTTCTTCCCCAATGCTGTGCATTGTGCTGCTATAGCTTTGCAACACACTTAAATATCATGCCATAACGTGTTTTAAATGACAAATCTGTCACATACTCATTTCCCAGTAAATAGCATATTTGCAGTCACGTAAATACTTTCTGCTTTCCCAACTGATTTTCTTTTCACCTCAACAGATTGATTACATTGATGGCAAAGGGAGAGGGGTAATCGCTACTAAACATTTTAATCGAGGAGAATTTGTGGTTGAATATCATGGGGATCTCATAGAGATCACTGACGCTAAAAAGCGAGAAGCTGTGTATGCTCAAGACCCATCCACAGGCTGCTATATGTACTATTTTCAGTACCTCAGCAAAACATACTGGTAAGCTGCTCCTGCCTTAACTTTTAAAGGGTGTGATAGCTGCGTGACTGAAGCTTTGAATGCTGCTGAGTCTTTTTTTGTTTTCTTGCAAAATTAAACTTTCTTAATGGAATCCATGCACTAGGTAATCTTATTTGAGCACTGTTTTAATGTCCACGAGCGTCCTACACCTCTGGGCTGAAAGGAACAGCAGGTGATTCAATGTCCTGTTCTCTGAGGCCTGGTACAAGCCATATGGAGAGTTGCATCTGATTGGATGAGACTTCTAGCTCTGTTGTGGACCTCTGGCTAAATGCACTCTTTTGTTAAATTAACTATTTTCCCCGAGTTGTAAGAGTTTTGTTTGAAAAATGGTGTGGACAGGCTCGTTGAAAGAGCAACAGTTTCAAACTCAACTCAAACTTTCTTAGACCAGGTCTCCTTCTTTCTGTTGTATCTGACATCGACCCAACATGCTGCTTAGTTTGCACCAAACTCCAGTTCTTTTGGAACTATTCAAACTGTCTTCCTCCCTCTATCGCTGATCGTTGCTGTATACTGGAGTGTGGGTCGCTTGTCTGTATATTAATTACCTCAGAGTCCTATATTCCAGGTGTCTGGCATGCAGTCTAGCTGCCATAACAGCTCTTTGTGCAACGAGAGGCACTAGAGCACACGCAGCTCTGCTTTGAGATCCAGATCTCTGGAAGCCAGTCGTGTAGTATTTAAGCATTCTCAGCCTCGTGTGGGAGTAGAGGCTCTTTTGCTAGTCATGTATCCTTTTGCCTGCTTACTGAGTGGATAGCATACCTTAGATGCAATTTTCTTGAGGGAGGATATTTAAGGTATTGAGCCCTTCCGGTGTTGTCCTACATCTGGATTTCCTGTTCCTTATGAACAGTCAAGAGTGTCTTGGGTCGAGTGTAGTCCACGACATTACGTTTTCTGGGTTTTGTGCTAACCCATAAGTCTCCCAGAACTGTTTTAGTTGTTACCCTTACACTGCCAATATACATGCTGCCTATTTGGGCATATGAATATTCTGTAATGTTTTCTTTCCTTCATTTTCCAAGCCTTACATGGACTTCCAATTCTTTATCTGATTTGCATTTTGTTTTTTGTCTGCAAATGTGACTTGTGCATGGTATGCAGCAATCCTGCCTTCTGTTCTTGTTCTTTTCAGTGTCGATGCTACAAAGGAAACTAATCGTCTGGGAAGACTGATTAATCACAGCAAATGTGGCAATTGTCAAACAAAGCTTCATGACATTGATGGTGTACCTCATCTCATACTGATAGCTTCCCGAGACATTAAAGCAGGCGAAGAGCTGTTGTACGATTATGGCGACAGGAGCAAAGCTTCCATTGAAGCTCATCCATGGCTGAAACACTAATTTGTCCTTTTTTTGTTTGTTTGTTTTGACTGAGTGCTCCACAGGGAGTCAATGGATTTATTTTTTTTCCTGTTCTCACTTCCCTCAGCTTAGCGGACTGCTTTTGGTGTTTTGAGCTCCTTAAAAGCTATCTTTTTGCTTTGCAGTATTTAAGTACCTACTACAGGTTTCCAGGCAGGCTTGAATAATTGATCTTAGATTGCCAAAATTTTTTATATTGTAAAAGGAAACTCTCCCTAAAAACTGAACATATTTGCATAGAGAAACCAGTGCCACCTGAGCATGCAGTCAGAGACTTGCACAGATTGAAACTCAATCACTTGGGTTGTACTTCTGCTTTTGCAATGAAAACTCATGCTCCACTTTGTGAGGAGATGAACTTGGCGTTAGCTTTATGACAGCAGATGTACTTCTGTACTCTGACTCTTACATCCAATGGCTTGACTACTTGTCAGACTTCTTTTTGAAACCCAGTGCTGACAGGCTTCTGAGACGGACACTATTGTTTCTATCATTCTCAAATTATTTGTGGTAGGGATCTAATTTTTCCAGAGTGGTATCTCATGTTGGCCGTGGAACTTCAAATGCACTGGCACTGGGGGAAATGGATGGTCAGACTGGCTGCTTTCTTCAGAGAAATTAAATGCAGATGGATTTTGGTAGACTGGGTTGATGCTGATTAGAAATGTGAAGATAAAATTTAGTCATTACAGTGAGAATCAATTTTTGACATTACTTATTTTCTGAAGTTTGAGATGGTACCTTTTTATAGGTGATGGCTGATTCTTGGAGGTGTCTCCTAGAGGGTTTTAAAAAAGCAAAAGAAAAAGCTCTCTCCAAAAAAAATTTTATTACCTCCCTATGTTAATTAGCCACATCAGAAACTATTTATTTACTGTGAATGCTTGAAGTAGAGCATAGTGGCTCTAAAACTGGGAGTCATCTTCATATGCAACTTCAAACTGTAATGATGGAGTTCATGCAATGAAGAAAGTAGATTCCTTATTGCCTGGTCCTGTAGGTCTGTCCAGCATGATCTCATCCCACTGTCTTAAATGGGAGTTGAGTGCTTAGCATCTTGCAGGAGATGTTTTTAACATTACTATTGGAGAACCAAATCTGTGATATAGGCGGGCAATACAATGGAGGTCCTTTATGTTAAAGATGAATTCTTACCAGTTGGAATTTTTGCCAAGGCAGGCTTGGCATGTGTGTAGATGAAGATGGCTGTGAGCCATCAGCCACGCTTGCTGCTGGAAAGTGTCGGCAAGGGATCTGTGGCTCTGTTAATATTTTCTGCTTCTCGTGTCTTGAAGGCTGCTGCTGTTCCAGCTAATGCTCTATAGGACAATCTTATATGCTTGCCTATGTGATAGGTCAGATAGCAACAACATCTTGGTTGTATGCTCCAGCAGCAAGAGAGGTGGTTTAGTGATGTATTTTTAAAATGAAAACTTGAAGACAATGTCTCTGTAAAATAAAGAATATATTTATTATCGATGAAGTGGCTGCTATAGTACCTGTCTCCATTGCAGATCATTAGCAGTTTGAAAACAAGCTGTGAAAATCATTAGTCATTAAGCACTTAGTATTAATCATTTAACCCAAGGCAGGCTCAGCAGAGAAAGCCTGTGTATTTCCACTGTTTGTGAAGAATGAACTGGAGACCTGTTGCCTTACATGTACTGAGTTACAGGTAAGCTTTTCTGGCTGACTTATTTGAGTTGGCACTGATTTCTCTCTGGTCTCAGTAACAGACTCTACAGCAGTGTACCGTATTCTGTTCCACTAGAGTGCTTCCCTAAAGTCAAAATTGGAATCAAAATGCTTCTTTTTGTTCTTTATTTAAACATTTGCTTGTTCCCTATCAGGTCAAATAGTTTAAAACCTCTGTTCTTCAACATCAATTTTGTAAACAAGAAAGAGGGAGAATCTCTCCTGATTTCATTAAAAACAAAACAAAACAAAAAATCTCTGAAAAGCTTAACTGGTCATCGAGTGACACTGCATTGGAAGATGGTAATAAAACTGATTTTGCACTGAGTATGTATATCTTATTTTCTAGGAGTTGCTGTATATATAACAAAACACATTTAATGGAAGCTTAGTTTTTTGATTTTTACCCCTGTGCCTTATAGGAAGGATTAATCCTCTAGTGAGGTGTAAAGGACCTAAGAGGGAAAGATGCCCTTGGGTTGAGGGCTAAAATGCTTCTATCAGGCTGGTGTGGCTTTGCCAGAGGCAGCAGTGTTGGTCTAAGAGGGCTGTAGCCTCTTCTGATGTAGCTCTCCTACCTGCTTTAAAACAAGAGCTGAGAGCTAACAGTTGATACAGAACATATTCAGTGGTAAATTAAAAATAATTACAGCATTTGTTATCATCTCCTTCAACTAACTGCAAAGAGTGGCTTAGAGCTACGTTACAATCTTCTGTGCCTCTTGGCAAATTGGTTCTCTGACACAGCTCTATTTAGTCTGTGCACTTTGTTAGCTGAAGCTGTTAAGATCTAATAGAGTGATTAGTGTGTTTTTAAGCATATAATTGTCACTCCCTCTTTAAAGGAACTTGGAAAATATGTCTCTGGATAACTCCATCCTCTAGCCTCCTATTTTGAGTGGTTTAAGAACACGCGTAAACTTCCTTTTTCAGCTTGCAGATGTGTCCTGGCTGATGATGATGCACGATTACTTGCTTTTTACACATTATCTCTGATATTAAAACACAGTTAACTTCCCTCTCTCCTTCCCTGCTCTAAAATACTCATTGCAGAGATATGGCCAAGGCTTACTAATATTTTGAAGATGGCAAACTTACTGTAGCACTTCCGTGCGCTGGCTGTCAACTGTAAACTTTCGTAGGTCAGGTATTTTTGATGCTGCCTTGCTAATGTGCAGTTGCTAGTAAAGTCTCTCTGAAATGAGACTGCAGTTCTACCTTCTGCAAAGCCACATTCATATTTGTATTGTACTGCTGAGCATAGATGTGCGTGAGGTGTCCTACGTTCTTTATGCTGTTAGCATATGAGAGGGGATCAAAAGACTTCAGGGACTGTCTTCATTTCCAAAGAGAATGAGATGACAGTCTTGATTCCTGTCATTGCTTTTCTTTACATCTGTTCAGACTTTTATGCTCTTGAAATGAAATTCTGCTTCTCTAGATATGAAACCTAATTGGTATTTTTCAGGCTAATCTCTTCTGCTCCTGTCTGTTGGTCCTATATACTTCCACTAGTGATTAAAATCTCAGTACCTAGGCTAATGCACAGCTTGTGTCACTTAACAGAAAAACAGAACAGAACTTGTAGAAAAGTAAAACTCTTTTCTACTGAAGAAGAGCTTTGACTATCAGAAATGAAGTGTCTGGTGCATGTGCCCCACTTAAGAGAGGGACTGAACGTGTCTGAAATGACATCGGTCCTTGATGTGAGCAAAGCAGGGTACAGCAGCTTTGTCTTCCCTTGCTGTGCTCTCCTCTGGCCCCAAAGGGCCACCTGGTTTGTGTGAGTTCTGTTGTCATAATCTAATCACATTTCTCTTTAAGGGGATGACAGGGTCTGCCTCCTGCTGCCCATGTATTGCCTATCTAATGTGAAGAAAGATTCACATAGATAGAACAAAACCAGAACAAAAACCAACTCTGGGGCTTTCTTGAAGCAGTGCTGTTAGCTTAAGGGAGAGAATTACTTTCCACATAAGATCACAGGCACATGACTGAAGTGGGTTCTTCCTAGTGCTTCTCTTTATGCCATTCACAAGTGCATAAATATATGCCTTAAAGTATCTTAATTTTGTGAAATCATTTGGGCTGAGTATTTTGATAGGTGGACAGGATAAATGTCTGGCAGTACATATGCTCTTTTAAATGAGAACAAAAAACTTTGTATAAAGATTTATTCTCTGCATTTGGGGAATGTCTGGCAGGAATCTAACAAATGAAAAAAGCATGAACGTCTTAAAACAGTTTCTAAAGAAGCAAAGTAGAATCTATTCTGAAAGAATACCATACAAAAACAATTTTTACGAGACTGCTTATTCTCTACAGTGGGAGTGATGCTTCCAATGCTTGGCTTCTCTCAGCTCCTTTAGACGCTTTAAACAGTGCCATTTCTGAGCAGAAGTGGTTAAGTTCTCATTCATGTTCATTTTCCATGTTTAAAAGAGAACCTGAAAAAAAAAAAAAAGAGGAAAGAAAAAGGAAACAATACTTACAAATGGAAGAGCAAGGACCATGCAGTGAGGCTGCCATGCCAACGTGTTCTGCTATTTTTGGGAACTTAAAGGACACTGTCTGAGCTTGTGAACGCTGCACACAGCTGCTTGCATACAATGTAAACAAACCTCCAGGGACAGCTGCCATGTTCCTTCAGCAGAGAGTCCTAATGTGCTAACAGGAAAGGCAACAGTCTCATGTAGTTTTGTTCTAAAATGCTGATTCTTCCTGGAAAAAAGTGAAGACTTGCTTGTCTGGGGGCAGACTGCTCTCCTGAAGAGTGCTTTTTGCACAGGAATGGATTTCTCCATCAGGTTTTAATTTTACAGAGAAAGAGAAGGAGAAAACAGCATCTAGCCAACTGGGCCAAAGTTCAAAATTCATCCCTGTTTTCACTAAGTGTGAAACATACCTTTTCCCCATATTCTGCCAGAAGAGATGTCGAGATACTTACAGCCGTTTGATGATAGTCTTGTCTTCACTGTCCTTACTGGTGCCAGGGCTGTTGCCGTTGGATTCTGTTTCCAGTTTCTCAGTTTGGTCCTTCCTCTGTGAGATGATCCCACTGGTAAAAGAGGCGGATTTATTTATTTTTCATGGTTCTATGCATAGCGTGGCATTGTTGTCGACATTAAACCCTTCACCGGGCAGCCTTGTGACCTGGGTGAATGGGTGCTCACAGGACAGTCATGTTTACTGGTCTTCTGTGTCAGGAGGAAGGTCAGGCTATGTGGAGACAGCGTAAAAATGCTATGAAGGAGGGCCCTTCAAAATGAGGGAAGTGTACAGAGCAGCTACAGCAGTTAGAGCTCTTTTAATTCATACTCTAATTCAGGAAAGGTCTTGAGTTCCCATTTTCATTCTGCTGAAGTCAGTTGGGTGAAGTCAGCGTGCTTTCCTATAGTTTAATATTTGTTAGGAGGTGGCCTGGCCTAGTGCTTGTAATGTATTTTTCTTGTATAAGATAATTTTGCTTAGGCGATGCTTTAATGAGAACACTAAGAAAATAAACTGACTCCTCTACAGAGAAAGAGCACCAAGTCATAACACAAGTTAAAGGAAAGTATATATTGGGTTTGTTCAAGAGTCTAACGATATCAGTAAGGTGCAGGTACAAATGGTGAAGTTCTGCTTGTGGGGATCTGTGGTGCCTTTAGCACAGCCATGGAGGCTCATACTACACAACTAGGAACAGATGGGAGATTCCCAAGCCCTGTGCAAGGGAGGTGGCTGTTCCTCTTTCCATCCTATAGAGAGAAAATTGCCAGAGCTGTAGATTTGGCCAGGCTACTTTGGTGCTGCTACATTCTCTAAGGTTGTAACCACCTACTTCAGGCAAAGGCTTCATTCTCACTGAAGGATGCTTCCTCTGCTTGGAATTGGGTTAGATTTCACTAGCTTGCATATTGCACTGTTTTCACAGCATGCCAATTTACTGTCCTAAGCTGACCTCATTTATCTTAAGAGCTGAACAGATCAAAGCTTGTAACTGCTGTGGCTGAGGACTGAAAGTAGCTAAGGATCATTGTTCAGGACCTTGAAAACAAAAATATGAGCAAATATCTAGATATTGGTGAGACATCTGGCAGCATGGGTAATTCAAGGGGCAGATTCTCCTCTGAGAGAAACGAGACTCTGAGCAGTTTGGTTGACACTGCAGACTTCCAATATATGCACCATATTTTTACTCAAAAGTCATGATTAAAAAAAATGTAAACCCCAAACACCAATCAGTCTCAAACTATTCTTTGTGAGAATGTCGGGTATCTTATGCTACCAAACTATTCCTTGTGAGAATGTCGGGTATCTTATGCTACATATCACTTATTTTGAATATACACAAGACACTTCAGAACACAGTGTTCATTATTAGCCTCTTCACCTGCATGACTGCTCTTCATGTCTGTACAATATAATTGAGGTTTTATGTGCATGTTTAAAAGGAAGAGTTTTTTTGGTTCAACCCTCTGAACACTGTATGAGGAAATTACCACATAGAACTGCTTGAACTGAAAAGCAGCCTTGATGCTCTAGGTGCAGAGCACTGTGACTTAACTCATTCATGCACAAATTAAAAACATCCATACTGTTAATTTTTAACTCGGCCTGTAATAAGCTGTGCAACACAGCTGGAAAATCAAAAGCAAGAAGCCATTCCAACGGCAGTATAGCAAAGGCAGTGAGCTGAGGTAGGGAAGTACGTGCTTCGCTGTGTTATGAGAAGTCCTGCTGAGCAGGACTGTAAACTGACTGACTGTAAACCGACTTCTGGGCTTTAAGTTTAACTTCTTGGCTTAACCTGACTATTACAGACAGGGCAAGGGGCAGACTTACTGTGTGTAAGAGGTTGCTATTGAGATATCGCAATTGAAATCTCACGTGCTCAGGAATCTTGTGCGTACAGTAAGAAGAAATTTCTTGCCCCGAAGAGCTTACAGTATAAGTAACTGTGTTCATATAACACAGTGAACAATAACCCAGATGGTGGGTTATTGATTGAGATGAAGAAATGTGTAGCCCTGAGAGCAAGACCCTGTCTGCCTCCCATCCTTTGGATTAAACCGATTCCCCCACGCTGCTCTCTTCTAGAAAGATCCTTTCCTGAAAGGCCTTTTTCTTTTTTTCCTGCAGTTCAAGAACCTTACACAACTTTCTGTTGGTGGTCTTTAAATAAATAAATAAGTGAACAAACAAAAAACCCCCCAGCTCTCATCCTGAATGATGGTGAAAGGGTTTAATATTCTTTCTACATCAATGTTGTATGTACTCTGGGGGCAAAGGAACAGTAGATAAACTAGCATACATGCATCTATACAGCAGCAAGCTGGAGTAGGAAGTAAACTTTGCCTAAAGCTGAGCTGGAAATCCCCATGCTCTTTGGTATGTAGCTAGGCTTTCCACAAGAATAGTATGCGTGCAGTTGTTGCGATTGTATAGGTGAACGCACGTGCAGGAGAATCCAGCTTGTATGTGGACTTGTAGTAATTGTACATAGGCTTTCACTAATAGAATAATGGGAAGAGGTTGTTAATTGTACAGAAGGAGGGAGTTTAGTTTTAAAACTAATGTTGCACAGAAACTTCATCGTTCCCCATTTTTCTTTGCTCCTCTATATACTCTTGGGAGCACAGAGATCTCTTAAGTCTCAACAATGCCTAGTCCAATCTAGGTGCTCAAACATGCAATACTCTCATCTGATAAGCTTACCAGACAAGAAGTAAATGTTATAAATATATTTCTTTGCTGACTTCATGATATACCTCTTATAGCACTGTAGCTCCTCTTGCACCACAAGAAGCTGAGCTTTCAGCTGGTTACGCTCTTGCAGTACTTCTCGCAGCTCTTGTAATGTGAACCGGGGCCGATCTGGATCTGTGAGGTCTATTACCATTTTATCTGGTCCAAGGCTGACCTGTAAAATAAAGCGGTGGTCATGATCTTGTGACTTGTCAAAAGAGGCCATTTCTAGAGTAAAAACTATCAATTTTATAAATGTAGAGTAATTCTTATGAACAGCGTGAGTTCCATCACAATCTTGATTTTTTTTTCCAAACAGTTAATTATAACATAATTATAGCTTTCATATTTTTGTAAGTTGTAAAGTTGATTTTGTAACCTTTTTGTCTCATTTTTATCTTAGTGTATGCATTTCCTAGCCAAGAAACTCTGTCACCAGTTGCGACAGTCTCTGACCACATCTAAAAACAGTCTTTGTTTCAAGCAATTTGCAATCTAGCTTTACAAAGAAACTGCTATTAACTGCTTTTCTGGTAATGAGAGAGAGGCTGAGTAATTTGCCTAACCACCCAACGATCATCTGTAGCAGAGAAAACTGAGAACTGGATACTCCTTTCCTAATTTAAGACCTTTGTGGTAACAGCTTTTTCAGTCACATGCGCGCGCGTCAGCTTTCCCTGCACGCGGGTAACAAAGCTTTAGTGCGAGCCCGAATGACAAATGGTCTTTATGTGGCCAGAGCTACACAACCGTGCATCGGTACTCGGAGAAATCCGCCCGTGGGGGTGCGGGTTTCTCTGTGAGCACTACACGTTGCTGAGCTTAAAAGCATGTTTTAAGTCACTACAGTAAAACAGCAGCGCAGGCACGAAACGGCTGCGACTTCTAACCGCCCTGAAGAGTTGCGCTCTGCAAAGACGGAAAGCAAACTTTCCTGAGACTCGCTGGGTCGTGGCAAAAGTATCCCCCGGCCCCCGGGGCGCTGGCGCGGCTCTGAGCGGGGCC